ATCAGCTGATCTTAGAAGGTAACAGGCACAAAAAGGAATGATATGGAGAGGAGACAGATACTTGTGAGACTTTCAAGTACTTTGAATTTACCAGGGCTGTAACACTGGAATCCTTTATTTGATAAAGGATTGCTGTAAGCTCAAGAAAGGCTGAAATGTTAACAACTCCCTTGTTTAATGTTAACACCTTGAACAATTTCATATGGGTCAGGTTTTATGTCCCGTTAACAATATCAAAATTATAGTCTGAAAAGATAGAAAAATATATATCCTAATAGAACAGTAAAAAGAAAAGGCTAAGCATTTGAAAGATGACAAATTAGGCAAAGTTTCATTTTAACTATATTTCCTACTTTTTTTTCATATAAGCTTATACATAGAAAATCTCATTAACAGTACTTCAGTGGATACCTGTTATCCTTTGTGAGGTGACAAAACGGAAGATGAGTTTAAAGGATCACTTGTCCATCACTCAAGACATGGTAAACTACTAAACATGATGGCTACTACTTTCAGATGTGCTCCTGACTGCGTGCCCCTAATCCACTGCAACGGCTGGACTTGCCCTGATGGCTAAAACGAATGTTTATTATACAGGAGCAAGAAAGGAGAAGAAACTTTATCAAAGGGAAGACGGCAAGAACCCTGGGCACACACTGCTGATCCCAGCTCTCACTCCTGCTCACTCAGGTAGTTCATGGCCAAGTCAAGGAGCAGTAGGCCCAGGGAATACAGTCAGCTCCAATAGTAAAACTTGCTTTTTGCCATCCACATGTTCCTTTGATTCCTTTAAGTAAAATGTTTCTACTGAAGGCTTTGGAGATCCCTTATTGCAGCATAGAGACCTAATTAAACCTTATGGGAGTAAATAAACACAAGCAAAAGGAGTAAATCCGTGAATAGGCAGTGCACTGGCCAGAAAGGGCTGGGATAAGCACCTTGTGCTCTCGGGCAGGGTCCTGTAACCCTGCAGGCAGCTAACCTAGCAAGGGGACCCTGTGCAAGCCTGCCCTGGGCCCTCAGAGCTGCCCACCCTTCCTTGGCTGCTCCTCTCTAGTCACACAACTAGTTTTTAAAAGTTATAGTGACCTGTAAAATGCTGAAGGACAGCATCTTCTAGCTAGCAACAGGACGGCATTAGAGACGTGGCGTCGAGCGCGAAGGGAAGCAGCAGGTGGAAAGAACAGGCTGCAGCAACATCGCCACAGCACCACGCTGAAACGCCGCGACATCGCTCAGGGAGGGGGACGAGCTCGGAGGGCGCCGCTCCGCCCGGCCCGGCCCCGCGCTCCGGAACGAGGCTATGAGGAGCCTGGCTTTACCTGGCTCCCCGGCACGGAGAAATCCACCACGCCCCGCAAGTCCGATATGTCGCGTTGCCGGTAGAAGCGAAAAAGCCGGCGGAAAGCGTCCTCCCCGCCTTCCCGGCTGAGGGCCGCCGCCGCCCTCTCAGCCAGG